GATAAGGTCTTCTTTTTTTGTAAAAATTTTCAGTATAAGTTTAGTAAGTTTTTAATCGCGTAAGGATTATGACAAACGGGAATGAGTGTGAGACATTGGAGCAATACAGCAGGTGAAGAGGTCAACCATGACGTCAGCGTCAGCCGGTCGATATAGCAGTAGAGAGTGTGGATGGTTTTATTGGAGAGCTCAGAATTTGTAGCACCCTTGTATCAGTGGGGAATGGCGAGGAACGGATAATCCCGTACGTCACAACCCTGGCGCTTGTGCAAGGAACTGGCTTATGGAGACAGAGAGGGGGTGAAGAGACTTCCTGTGGAAAGGAACCGTGGAGATAGGATTCGATCATYGAGGAACGTGACGAATCACCTTCAGAGGGTCTCGTGGTGTCTTTTGCGGAACAGGCATGATCTCTCAAGGGAAACCCCAGGAACTTCATGAAGCCGACAGTGCGTGTAGTTATGGTGATGGAGCTTGTTTTGGGGATTGTATTGGCCAGCAATGCCCCATGTGTTTTGCAGCAATAGTGTTTTGCTGTGTAGATCCACAACTGCTAGCCGTGAAGGGTTGAACAGTAGAAACCGAAAGTGAGACATTCAGTGTCGTTAGAAAGTGAAATGGACTTGACTTTTACTACTCGTCGAAGTTACTAAATTGGCTTGTTGGGCGTACACTACTAATCAGACAAACTGTGAAGAAGCGATAAGAGGTTGTGACAATCGGTTGGAGCGTGGAAGTGATATTCTCACAAGGTCACTGTTAAATCCCGTCCCAAAGTTCCCGACAAGGAAAGCCGAAGGTACAACTGGAGGTAGACGCAATGAGTAGTTGAAGAGAAGCTTGTGTCAGCAACAGTCAATRGGATGGAATTGATCAGCTTTCTCCYTGGACAAAGAATTGGAGTACGTGCTGTGCTCGAGGACATTATGTGTATTGATCATAATTGTACTTTAAGCTGTATGATACACTTATAGTATACATGGACATGTCGTTAGGTATGGTAACACATAGTACTTGCATTCAATTGCAGAGTAGGTTACGTTTAAGTTGTTTTAGCTCGCTCGGGACGAGGCTCGCAAAAAAAATAGGGGTGAATGTGACAGGGTCACTTTCGTGACCAATGTCAGAAATGTTTAGATTACATAATTAAGCATTTGTTTTGTAGTTAAAACTGTTTTACTGCAAATCTAAGATATGATTTAGTCAAAAGGGCTTATTTTGTTACTGTCACGATATCTTGGGATTAGAACCTGAGTCATGCAATACTCATGTGATGTAATTTCCTGTCACATCAACA